AAACCCCAAACCCCAAACCCCCCTTGAGGCGAAGCCTCGCAGCCGAAACCGACGATGGAACTCCTCCAGGGCCTCCTGCAAGCGACGGCGACGCTGCCCCTTGGGCCGAATATGGAGGCTTTAATACTTAGAATAGGGCTTGGGTTTAGGGTTTAGGGTTTAGGGTTTAGGGTTTAGGGTTTAGGGTTTAGGGTTTAGGGTTTAGGGTTTAGGGTTTAGGGTTTAGGGTTAGTTAGAGTGCTTTTGATGATTAGAATAGGGTTCCTTTAAGGGGATCCCCAAAGGGTTCTATAAGGGATCTTTTAATAATTAGAGTTGGCTTTTGGGGGGGCTCCTTTAAAGGATTCCTTTTAAAGGGATGTATAAGGGCTTCTATAAGGGTGTAGGGTTTAGGTGCCTGAATAAGTAGAATAGGGTTTGAAGATACTGTACTATAATTACAATAAGGGTCCCCCCAAAACCCTGACAGTAGTGGCGATTGTGAGGTTGCTTCGCGGTGCTCGGTTCAAGAATGGTGTGGGGCCCTGTCTTTCGGGGGTTGATTGAGCTCGTTTCGGAAGGGGTTAAGACGGAATTTTGGGGTTTACGCTGCCCTATCCACTGCCAGGGGACCTCCGTATCCCAGCTTCTCCTTGCTTTCGTGCTTGGATTTGGCCTGGCATTTGGGCTGTTCCTCTTCATCCTTTACTTCCACTTCCTTGCCCCCTCCCGAGCTCTGCACCTCTCGCAAGCCAGGGATCGTGCTGAGACTCAGTCTCCAGGTCAAGCTCGGCTATCATTGTATGGGCACACCCGCCTCTGATCAGGAGGCCGTCACTCAACTTTCTCTGGAGTTGGAGGGCCTTCGCATCTCCATCACCCGATCGAGGCAGGCTGCCCCTGCCCCTTTGGCTTCCGAGCCTGCCCCTTCTGCTACCGCGTCATCCGAGGCGCCGAGAGCCTCGTCAGCTTGTTTGGGTGCTAGCTTGGATAGCTTTGGGTCCCCCGTTAGGTTCCCTAACCCGCCGACCCTAAGCTCCCCGAGCCCCGCTGAGTCCCGTAGTGCCATCGAGGCCTCCTTCCCTCCTCTGCCTGCTTACCTTCTGGATTCGGCCAGGGCTCTCAGAGCCAGTGTATCTTCGCCCCACGAGCGGGCTGCACGGGCCTGGACAGCGGGCTGCTGGGCCTCCGCGGTGCTAGCAAGCCGGGTTACCACCCCTAACGTCACTCCTACCCTGTCGCTGCCGTCACGGATCTACGTTGTGATCCAGACCCCCTCTTGCAGCCACGTCCAGGTTACGAGTAGTCGGGCTACTTACCTTCGTTTGGTGGACAACCATAGGGGTTTCTCTTTGTCCCACGGGTGGCCCACTGAGACGGAGGCGAGGATCTACGTGGCCGGTGCAGGTCGTGCATACCCCCCCTCGCAGACTCAATGAATCCGGACGAGGTTGTCCCTGCCGAGGCTGGGGAGGTCAACTTGCTGAAGGTCAGGCCCCAGGAGGTCCTAGGCATTGTGAGCGATGCCCCTCCAGCTGTGTGCTACTGTGTGCTGAGCAGACCCGGCGGTTTCCTGCTGGTCCTGCCTTCCGGTGTTTTCTCCCCGGGCGTTTTGCAAGAGGCCGCCGACCAAGGCTTCTCAAGTGTGATAGGTCCCTCCACCGTGATCACTGCTCCCGCCGTGGAGCTTGCCGAGTCCGGGGAATGGCTAGGCGTCTATCCTCAGAGGATGATAGAGGTTACCCTCATAGACTTCGGAGAAACAGCTGCCGGGGGCCTCGAGCCTCTACTGGAAGGCCTGCCCGAGTGTACTCCCTTTGTGGCCGAATCGCCGATGCTCTTCCCTTTGGCCACGAGCGTAACCGCGGCTGCTGTCGAGTGGACAGCCAACATGGAGGGAGACCGGGGAGCAGGCTACATCACCGCCGAGGAGCTCCTGCCCGAACAGGCTTTGCCTTCCGCACCTTTGTTGGAGCGCAGGCCGAAGGCGGAAGCTCGGCCAAAGAAACCCACAATGGCGGCCCTGGCTTCTCAGCAAGAGGGAATCATGCAGGCCTTGCAAGCCCTGTCAACCCAAGTGCAACAGCTCGCGAGCAACCCGCCGCCTCCGCAAACCGGCCCAGCACCCCTGGTAGGCCCAGCTCCCTTAGGTGGAAACAGGTCAGCACTTGCCGCTCCGGTCTCCGCCGCGATCGCAGCTTCCCCTGCTGCCCCTCGCCAGCTTGCGAGCCTGCTAGGAGCTCCACCGAGGGCCAAGGCGGCGTTTTCCGTCGCAGGGTTTGGTGCACCAGAGGCCGTGGCCCCTGGTCCTTTGGACGGGGATCCTTTGGACGAGGACGCAGTGTCGGGGGGCCCTCTTGCCTCCGCTCTCCTTGCTCAGAGCAAGGCCCTCACTACTTTAGTGGCTCAGTTGGCCGGTGGCGGCGATCCGATGTCAGACTTAGCAGCGAGCGGGCCGAACTCCATATCAGTGAAAGGATCTGCCGCCAGGATGAAACTGCAGAGGGAGCTCCACGGGCGAGCAGGTGGCTTCTTTGCCAAGGTGCAGGAGGCTGCAAGGCGGAGGATGGAGCCCACGGCTCAGCTAGGAAATCTCCCGGAGGAGCTTCAGCGGCTCCCCGTCATGACCCGGTACTTCGAACGTTTCGGCGGCTTCAGAGACCAGAGGACCTGGGGGCTGGTCATGTGGCAACTGGCGCAGGCTTTCGACCTGCTTGCTTCCGATCAGCTGGAGGGGGCGAAAGACAGACTCGCCCTTCTGATCGTAATGATCGACCAGACTGTGCTAGATGCTGGGCAGCCCGACCTTGGCTGGATTCTCTCCTTGCAGGAGGATCCGCCCACTCCTTTGTTTTCGGCCCCTCCAACCCGTGCAGGCGCCGCCGTGCGCCCTTGCAGCCACCTCGCCGACCCAGGTGGCTGGCCGTTGCCCTGAGCTATGTGAAGGAGATGGAGACGCTGTCTTCCAAGAGGTCGGAGCTCTCGCGTGCAAAGGCCCCGTCTGGGTCCCAGGATCCCCCGCCAGGAGCTCCGGCACCGCCGTTGACAAAGAAGCAGCAAAGAGCCAGGCTGAGGAAAGCGGCTGCTCAGCAAAAGCCTTAAGGCGGCAGGGACGTGCGGTCACTTTTGATTTGCCCTCCGTAGGGGTCTCAGGTGTCCAGGTCTCCCCTCCCCCTGCCGCGCCTTCACTACCACCTGCTGCTGGGAGTCAGGTCTTCCAAGGTTCCCTAGGCTCCGAAGCCGCCGAAGGCTGCGCCCTCTCTGCTCTGGTCGTCACTCCCCAGCCTGTCCCTGACGAAGATCGGGCGGCTGGGCCGTCTTCCGACTGCCGTCACGAGAGGCCCGCCTGTACCATAAGCACCACGACCCCACCGTTGCAACCGGGAGTGTCAGATGCATCCCCATTTGATGGAGTCCCTGACTTTTGCTCCGAATTTGACTTTTGGTCCTGGGCGGCGGCTCTTCCCCGCCTGGTTCTTTCCTCGAGGACTTCATTTGCAAAGTTCCTCCGCACATCCTTTTGCATTCGCGAGCGGGGCGAAACAGCCCTTGACACCGCCCTTGTTCCTCTGCCGGTTCCTGACGTTTCAGTGTTCGGCCCAGGCTCCTTGCCCGGCTGGGCTGATAACCCCGGCCCCTCTGCCAAAGCAAAGGAGACCCTTGTTGCCCGAGTGCTCCACGTGGTTGTAATGGCTTTGAACTTCCTTCACTCCGACAGGAACTTGTCATCCTGGCCTCGCTTGCGCCGGTGATGTCTTCGGATATCTCGGCTCCCTTCCTCTCTGACATCTTCTGCTCAGATGCCTCGATGCACAGAGGGGCCTTTTGCTCCTCCCCTCAGCCGCTCGCGGTCTCCTCCGCCCTTTGGCTGTGCGCTGACAAGAAAGGATCGTACACCATGCTCGATCCGAGAGATCACTCTGCTGTCGATGACGAGGAGGAAGGCGAGGTTCCCTTCTCCGAGGTCGGGCCCGAAAAGCCCCTTGCCTTCGACTTTGATGTGGTCTGTGTTTTCGCAGGCTCCGAGGGTATAGCTGACTGCTGTGCTTCGCTTGGGCTTCGCGTGTCTCCTATCCTCGACCTGCGCTCCTCCGTTGAGTTTGACGTTTGCAGCCCCGTCGTTCAAGACTGGCTCTGCAACCTTCTTTGGAAAGGTCGTGCCGCAGCCTCGTCATCGCCCTCCCTTCTGGTTCGTGCTCAGCTGGCGGCAACCTAAAAGAGCGGCGAAAGGTTGCCAGGGTCAAAGCCTGTGAGGCCTCCTTCTCTTTGTTCAGGAAAGCCGTGAGGGCTCGAGTCCCTGCTGTTGCCTTCTTCAGGAAAGGTTCCAAGGCTTTCTCAGGCTCCCTGTCCAGAGGCCTCTTGAGGGTCGAGGGGGTAAGCCTCCTGTCTCCTGCTGCTTCGGCTGCCTCCGTTGGAGAAGATACCGCTGCGTGCCCAGGCTTCCTTTTCTCCCCCGTTGCAATTCCTAAGGTTTTCTGGGTCAGCCGTGCCTCGCCGGGGCAGGCTGGGAAAGGCGTAGCCAGTCTGCTGAAAGGGATCGTTAAGGCTTCGCAGCCTGATCGGCCTCCCTCCCCTGGGCTGGAAAACCTCGCCATCAACGATGTCCTCTCCGCCGGCTCTTGGACCGTTGAAGGAGTATGGCAGTGGGAAAAGCAGAGGCACATCAACGCCCTGGAGACCGAATCCGTGGTCTCCTTGCTAAGAGGCCTGGCCAAGTCCAAAGGAGATTCCAGGCCGGTCTGCATTGTGGATTCCTCCTGTGCTAAAGGAGCTTTGGCAAAGGGGAGATCATCCGCGCACTTGCTCAGGCCTGCCCTCAGACGTGCAGGAGCTATTTGCGTTGCTGGAGGACTGTTCCCGGCTTATGCGTATGGCCCGACCCGTTTGAATGTCTCCGACGACCCCACTAGGTCGGCCGACTTAAGGGAGGCAGCAGGGGCCAGCCTTCTTGAGGGCCTCTCCGAAAGGGGTATCGACTGTGCGGCCAAGATTGGTGGCCTCAGTAAGTGCCGGGCGAACTGGGTCAGACTGTCGGCTCTCCTTGTAGGGCCGTTCAGCAAGGAAAGTTTTCTGCTGGCCTTGTCCCTCTTCCCCTACAGGGCAGTCCCGCACGATCCTCCAGCTCTCCTCTACTGCGCGCCGGTCCCTGGTTTGCACCCTGCAGAAGAGTTTGCCGCCAGAGCGCTTGAGGAAGAAAGACTCCTGCCCTCCGTTCTCGGGACCCTCTTAACTCTGTTGCCCGGAGCAGGTAGAGTGCGTTTTGCCCGAGAGCAAGAGGCAGTAAAGTACTGGACATCCGGCCTCTATTCACAAGGCCCGTTCCGAGGCCTCAGGTCTGACAGCGTCAGGTTTCCCTTCGCCACCAGGCTTGTTTGTCGCATCGTTGCCCAGGTTGCCCCAGGCTTCCCCTTCACGACTGTTGCTTTGCTCCACCAGGTGCGCTCAACTTTGCACAAAGATAGGAATAACCTGAAGGGCCTCCCGAGCCTTGTCTTCCCTGTTTCCTCTTTCAAAGACGGGCAAATTTTCGTAGAAGGAGGGAAGGCCGAACACGAGATTAGCTTCGATGGCTCTCCTCCCCTGCGAGGTGAGCTGCTTCAGGTCTGCGAAGGCCCTGTTTTCCTTGACGGACACCGCCAGCATGCCACTTTGGACTGGACAGGCCTCCGCCAGGTTGCCGTCGCCTTCTGCATAAAGGACCCCTGGAGAGTCCCCCTGCAGCCTTGCCGGAAGGCCCGCGAGTTAGGCTTTTGCTTCCCCAGACATGATAGGGGCTGGATTCGCCCAGGAGGCTTCTCCCGTCGCTTTGATGCCACGCTCGGTTTCCCGGGTGAGGGGCCCACCTTCATCATCCCTGTCATTCTTTGGGGCCTCAGTTGGTCTTGCCCTGCCGTCCTTTTAGGCCCCAGAAACGCCGCTGATCGTGCCCGAGCTGAGAGGAGGTCCCCGGCAGGTCTCCCGTCCGGTCGTGTCGTCCTTCCGCGTACAGGGTCTTACAGGGTTGAGCTAGCCGCAGCTTTCTCCTCATGGATGGTCGAAGTGACTGGAGTTTCCTTGCAACAACTCCTCGACAAGAAGCCCTTCGACGCAGAGGCAGTTGCTGATGCTCTTGTCAGGTATGGGCGCGACCTGTATGGTTCAGGGCGCCCGTACTGGCATTACGCTGAGACTATCAACTCAGTAACTTCGATGAAACCTGTACTTCGTCGTCAGGTGCAAGCGGCTTGGGACTTAGGTTTTGCCTGGCAAGCCGACGAGCCCTACTCTCATCACACAGCTATTCCCCCGGCGGTGCTCATTGCGGTCATTACAGCGTGCCTTCTATGGGGATGGGTACGTGAAGCAGGCTGCTTTGCTTTGGCTTTCGGAGGAGTTATGAGGATAGGTGAGGTTTTTGCCGCGACTAGGAGGTGCCTTATCCTCCCGAAGGACGTCAACGACTCCCAGCCCTTCGTGCTGGTCAAGATCGAGGAACCCAAAACGCGGCACCGAGGGCCTCGCCACCAAGCAGCTAAGGTTGAAGCTTCAGATCTGGTGCAAGTTATAACGATCGCTTTCTCAACACTTCAAGCTGGCGAAAAGCTCTGGCCCTTTTCGCCTCAAACTTTGAGGAAACGATTTGATACCTTGCTTAAAAAGGTCGGAGCATCGCCAGCTCCCAGTTCGGTGCGATCCCTGGACCTTGGCTCCTTCCGGGCAGGCGGAGCCACGTACCTTCTTCAGCTGACTGAAGACTCTGAGTTAGTCCGCAGACGAGGCCGTTGGGCCTCATCGAAAGTGATGGAGGTCTATCTTCAAGAAATCGCTGCCTGCACCTTCCTGCCGGCCCTCTCAAGCGATCAAAAGAGAGCAGTCTTCACTTTCGCTGCAGGCTTTCAATCAGTTCTTCGACAGGCGGTACTATGGTCCAACGAAGGCATAGAGAGCAATGTTTGGTACAGACTATGGCCTGGAGATTTGTCGGCACACGAGAGGTAAATACGGGACCTACGGGTCTAGTTTTCCACCGACGAAAATTCCGGTGTAGCATCACTCGTGTGTGCAGACTCCACCCGATGCAAAAGACCGAGCTTGAGCCACTGACAGTAGTGGCGATTGTGAGGTTGCTTCGCGGTGCTCGGTTCAAGAACCCGCCCTCCCTCCCGGGTCTAGTTTTTCCACCGACGAAAATTCCGGTGTAGCATCACTCGTGTGTGCAGACTCCACCCGATGCAAAAGACCGAGCTTGAGCCACTATTTATTAAGGCCCCTTGGGCCTAAGTCTCGAGCTCCCGAAAACCTTTTAGGGTTCAGGGTTTAGGGGTTTTAGGGGTTTTAGGGTTTAGGGTTTCGAGGTTTAGAGTTTAGGGGTTTAGGGGTTTAGGGTTTGAGGGTTAAGCCGTGGGCCTATCCCAGAGAGCCCAAGACCACTTAATTAAGGAATGTACCTTGTCAGGCCCTCTTGGGCCTAATATAGGGGCCTTAATGATTACCTATACTATGTGGGGTTCCTTACTATAACTCAGTCACAACTTTACAATAAACACCCTTTCACCCTTTCACCCTAGCACCCTAAACCCTCAACCCTAGACTCTAAACCGCAAAACCCTGAACCCTAAATTCTATTGGTAAGTCGTCTTTCGAATCCCTCATGCAGTTGGAAAAGGGCCTTGCAACATAACCTTTTGATACGGGACCTTCGCATCGTGAACCCTAAAGCCTAAATCCCAAACCCCAGACGTGGCTAAGCCCTCAAGCCCTAAACCCAAAACCCCAAAACCTAAAACCACCCCAAACCCCAAACCCTAACGGGGCCTTGTTGGAAGCCCTTACAGGATCCCTGAAAGGATCCCTCAAAGGAGCCCTACTTGTAACCCTACGTATAACTCCTTTAATATGGGTGATAGCCATAGTGTTCCTACATATAACCCTACTTATAACAACCCATGAACCCCGAAACCCTAAAGCCCTAAAATCCAAAACCCTAAATCCCTAAAACCCCAAACCCTAAACCCTAATCCCTAAACCCTAAATCCCTAAATCCCTAAATCCCTAAATTCCCAAATCCCTTAATCCCTAAACCTTAAATCCCTAAACCCTAAACCCTAAACCTTAAACCTTAAATCCCTAAACCCTAAACCCTAAACCCTAAACCCTTAAAACCCTAAATATCTAAACCTTAATCCCTAAACCCTAAACCCTAAATCCCTAAAACCCCAAACCCTAAACCCTAATCCCTAAACCCTGAACCCTGATCCCTAAATCCCTAAACCCTTAAATCCCTAAATCCCTAAACCTTAATCCCTAAACCCTAAACCCAAAACCCCAATCCCTAAACCCTAATTCCCTAAATCCTTAAATCCCTAAATCCCTAAATTCCCAAATCCTTACTTCCCAAAACCCCAAATCCCTAAACCTTAAATCCCTAAACCATAAACCTTAAACCCAAATCCCTAAACCCTAAACCCTAAACCCTAAACCCCTAAATCCCAAGCCCTAAACCCTAAACCCTAAACCCTAAACCCTAAACCCTAAATCCTAAACCCCTAAATCCCAAACCCTAAACCCTAAACCCTAAACCCCTAAATCCCAAACCCTAAACCCTAAACCCTAAACCCCTAAATCCCAAAACCCCGGGAGCCGAGCCGAGGCTGCGCTGCCACGCGAGCCGCTTCGGTGATCCCGAGCCCGGCTCTCAAGAGAAGGATTTAGGGTTTAGGGTTTAGGGTTTAGGGTTTAGGGTTTAGGGGTTAGGGATTTAGGGGTTAAGGGTCTAGGGTTTTGGGGTTTAGGTTTTAGGGTTTAGGTGTTTAGAGCTGTAGGTATTTAGGGTTTAGGGTTTAGGTTTTAGGGTTTAGGTGTTTAGAGCTTCAGGGTGTAGGTATTTAGGGTTTAGGGTTTAGGGCTTTGGTGTTTAGAGCTCTATGAACTTTCTTGAACATATTTCGGTTTACGGCTTAATGTAGGGGCCTTAATAGTTAGAAAAGGGTTTTGGGGGGGCTACATATCAAAATTACAGTATTGTAAGCATTAAGGCCCCTAGTAGGACTTGAACATGATGGGTTTATGGCTTAGGTGTTTAGATCTTTAGGGTTTAAGTATTTAGGGTTTAGGTGTTCAGGGCTTTAGGGTTTAGGTATTTAGGGTTTAGGGCTTCAGGGTTTATAGGGTTTATTAGGGTTTAGGGTTTATAGGGTTTAGGGGTTCAGGGGTTTAGAGTTCGGGATTTAGGGTTTATGGTTAGGGCATTTAGGGTTCCTTTACCCAGGATCTATACCGCTTCTACAATGGATCTATACGGGCTCATTCCATAAGTCTACGACATTTGCAGGTGGGTAGTTACCGTTATAGGAGCCTTATAGAAGGTCTACATACCTTATGGAAGCTTTATTTATAGAAGCCCTATATACCCTAAACTCCCCACCGTAGTTTCCTTTAACTAGGGGCTTTGGGATTTAGGGGTTTTAAAGGTTCCTGTACAGGGATCTAAAAGGGTTCCTTAGGGCTTCTACAGGGGATCGATATGAGTTCTCTCTATAAGAGATCCATAAGGTTTCTTTCAGAAGGGTTCTGATAAGCGTAGGGGCTTTGGGAGGTAGAACAGGGCGTTGGGGCTTCTTGAAACATGGTTTGGGGATGCATCATGTTATGGTCTGTGCATACATAATATACATATATATATATATACACATGTATATGCATATGTGTGTGCATATATACATACACATACATATGTTTATAAATATACATATATATATATATAGAGAGAGAGAGAGAGAAAAAAAAAAGGATGGAGAGTGAGAGGGATAGTCATTAACCAGGGGATGCTAGTTCGAAATATTCAAACTTCCCTAGACTGATGAAGTTCAGGTCGCTACAAATGCTGTAGCGTCGGAGAGGAAGATATCTAGAGTAACGTTCATTTTGCGTCTTTCGATGAGTGTATACAGGCTTCGAGTGGGGCATGCAGCCCTTGAATCATACCCAGAGGAGGTCATATGCAGACGATCAGGGCTCAACACACCCGCGCATGTCGCACCAAATGACGTGCTGGTGAGAGACGGAAAGGTATTTGACAGAAACACGTTGGAATCAGAGCAAGCTCCAGCAAGGCAGAAGAACACGAGGACATCCAGTAGCGGTTTCCTTCCCACTTACATCCAGCAAAGCTTCAGCTTTTTCGCAGATGCGGCCTGCCGGCAGGTGCAATCCCAAGCCTTCATTCCGGAAGCTTTGTGATATCCCGTTTTAGGGTTTAGGGTTACGGTTCATTAAGGGCTTGACGTTCCCGTTGTTGCCAGGAGCCTCACGCCCGAAGCCAAAAACCCAACATGCGGCTGTTGCAGTTTGTAATTCTTGGATAGGTTTGCAAAGCCCGACAAGATCAAGCCCTAAACCCTAAACCCTAAACCCTAAACCCTAAACCCTAAACAGCCCCACACTTCAGAACTTGAGGCTCGAGAAGCTTTACAACATTGCGAGTACGATCGCACTCATGGAGGTGCATTTTGGGTTTTAGGGTCTAGGGTTTAGGGGTTTAGGGGTTTAGGGTTTAGGGTTTAGGGTTAGGGTTTACCCAGAGAACCTAAGGAGTATACCTTAAATTATGGGGGCCTTAATTTTTATGATTTGAGGTAGATTCCCTAATTAAGGGGTCTTGGGTTCTGTGGGTAGGGTGTACGGTAGGGTCTAGGGTTCATCTCTTCATGGCAGGGGGCGGGAGTGTAAGGGCTCTTTATTACTAAAGAGCTGCCGCGCGATTTCTATATTGCGAGTCTTGTACTTTCAGAGGGATTCGGATGTTTAGGGTTTAGGGTTTCGAGTATAGGGTATGCTTATCCTGAGTGTTATCCACATCATCACGGCTGTTCACGACGACGGGGTCCCTAAGCCTTAAACCCTAGATCCCTAAACCCCCTAAACCCTGAACCCTAAACCCTAAACCTTAAACCCCTAAGCCTAAACCCCTAAACCCTTAAACCCTTAAACCCTTAAACCCTTAAACTCTTAAACCCTAAACCCTAAACCCTAAACCCCTAAGCCCCTAAACCCTTAAACCCCTAAACCCCTGAACCCCTAAACCCCTGAACCCGTAAACTTTCTTGGACATTCGGAGCTTGGGTTCACGGGTTGGAGCACTGTGTTTTGGTAATAAAGCTGGTTATCATGATGGTGCTCACGTCTACCTAGAGCTTCCAAAACCCCTTAATTAAGGAATATACCTTAAATCTTATTAAGGATCCTAATATAATTTAAGGTATATTCCTTAATTGAGGGGTTTTGGAGGCTCTGGGTATGCTGATCGTGGTGTAAATGGTGTGGATGGCGACTTAAAGGCTACAGCAGTTTAGGTTTTCGTGTTTGAGGGTTTAGGGTTTAGGCTCCAAACATCCAATAAAACCTTAACCACAAATTTCGAGATCCTCGGGCCGAACCTCTGCACGAAACCCGAAGTTTTGATTCCGCAGGCCGAGGTACCCAGTTCCTACACCCGGCGCTCAAGACGGTTTAGTGTTCAATTTTAAGCCATCTTGCATAAGGCTCAGGGTTTAGGCTGTAGTGTTTGAGGATACGCTTCAAGGTTTAGGGCTGTAGGGTTTA